GATATGGAAACAGCAGAACATTCTTTAGCTTGGATCCAAGGTTTTTCACCAGATGCAGTCTGTTATTCACCAAAACATTCAGTTCTCCAATGCTCACGTCACATTTAATGGAAAGAAATCTTCTTTTGTTAGATCAGTTTTTCCAGTAAAACCTTGACACTCAATATTAAGCGGGTGGTCAGTGTTATTGCAGACTTATGTAAACTTTGTGGCTAAAGAAAATCTTTATTTCGCTTTAGGTCACTGGCATTTTCCCAAGGCTGTCCTATTGACGTTCTTCCTGTCCTTACTCGGAGTCTAATAGTTGTAGTAGTTTTGATCGATGGCTGCGGAGAGCGCTGGCCACTCTTTTGGAGGTGAAACGCAACATATAAACGTAGCTTTTTGAATTTTAAAATGTATTAATGCCAAACTTTGAAGGAAACTCTCTAAATCCAGAAACAACCCAATTAGGGGGGAACTTCTGTATGCCATCTTAGGCCAGGACTCTGATGATGGCCAAGAGTGGATTTATTAGCTGGATGTTCTTGTGCAAAATTATGCAGTGAAACGTGATATTAAAGTTTGAAAGTCAAATATATTCAACACAGAGAGTTCATAGAGGAAATCCATAGTGTTTTACTTAGTGATGTGCACGATGAGCTGTGTGGAAAATAAACACATTAAACAGGAGATACTTGTCTTTTTTTAGGCCGTGTATGTAAATATCAGAATATAGATGTTCAAACGAACCAGCTACCAGAGCAGCAGGAGGATTAAAACTACATAAAATTCAAACCACATGCAAAATGTTGAAACTTCAAAAACAATTATCGCTAAAGGTCCCATTACCCAGAGGAGGCCTGGTTCTGAATAATAAAATGTATGCACTGCTTGAATAGAATGATTCAAATTAGCTCTTTGCACAAATAATCCCACACTCCGTCCTCAATGCCAACAAAAACCCAAGAACTCAGAGTCAATAAAGCAACAGGCTGAATTATAGCTTCAGATTGGATCTTTAACAAAAGGCATATTTGGAAAGTCATTTCACTAATTAATGACCGTGGAAGAGGGTGCTTCTTTTATATGCATCGCTAATCCGGTGTGTGGAAGATGTTCTCACTCAGCGGCTCGCTCCTTTATGAAAACTGATAGCCGTACAGTGAACTTATTGGATTACGAGTGTTAGAAGATATTGAGACGTGCCGTTTCTCCCTGTCCTGTAATATTTAATGAAATTTGCTTCATTGTTTGACTTGGAGTGGATTTGTAAAACACTAGGTAGCTCACATGTGAGGTATTTCTGAGAGAATAGAGGGGAAACTAGTCGATGTGCTCCTCTATGCACTCGATGACAGAAAGCACTATTTGGCATTTAGGAGATGGATAACTACAAGTTCTGTAGCATCTGCTGCATATATCAGCCGATATATCAGATTTATGGATCATAAAGTTTTTTTTGAAAGCACTAAAACAACAGGAGCTCTGGGTGTGTGATACAAAAGTGCGTCGCAGCGGTGTTGACTTTAAACAGCAGATTCTTAACTCCTGGCTGTAAAAGCTGCCAGCGAACACGGCATCCAGCCCATCACTTCCTCGAGCATGACAGCGTGACTCATTAAAATGATACAATGAAACTCTCGCCGCCACCTTTCACGAGAAATTATTTCCCTACCAGCCGCACCAGCACTCAGTTTCATGTGTCGTAGTTGTTGCATTTCCTGTGAAAAATGTGTTGCGCTTTGCCAGAATCAGACGGCAGTTTCTGTAAAAGTTTGCTTCAACTTGTTGCAATGGTGAGTAGAGGAGATGGAACCACAAACGGCTCAAAAACGGTGACCAAGTTTGATGAGTTACCAAAAAGACAAAATGATTTGATTTAAATATGTCAGTGTGCTAACTACTTCAGTTCACCAAAGATAACCTGTGCTAAGTAGTCTGTGCTAAGCTAGCTGTGCTAAGTAGTTAGCTTAGCACAGCTCATCTTTGGTGAACTGAAGTAGTTAGCACACTGACACATATTTAAACAAAATCATTTTGTCTTTTTGGTAACTCATCAAACTTGGTGCTAAGAAGCTACAGCGCTAAGAAGCAACTAGCTCCTTTATGAAAACTGATAGTACAGTGAACTTTGAGTGAAAGTGCTACAGTGCTACTGTAGCTACTTAGCTACAGTGCTAAGAAGCTAGATGAAGCCAGCTACTTAACTAGTGTGCTAATTAGATCAAGCTTAGCTTGGCCTAGCTACTTAACTTAACCAGCTAGTAGCTAGCTTATGTGGCTATCAGCTAGCCATGTAAAGTGTGAACTTGATCTAAGTTCACACAGAAGTGAAAATAGTCAGACTATAACCTGAATTTTCTTGCTGTTGTGACTCAACATGATCTGTTTTTATTACTGTATTAATTTAATAAATAAAAGTTGAAGTTTTAGTAAAAAAATGCACAAAGTAGAATTTTGCTGTTTTTTTTTTCTATTGGTACATTAAGAGGAATTTTGGTTTTAAACAAAAAGTTTTGAGCTCATGAAAGTCTGATTCAACCAGTATGAGGTTATCTTTTATCTTCTGGTTTTTAATTCAAAATTGAACCAAAAACAGAAATCATGCTTATCTATGTTAGACTTGATCTTGCCCATTGTCAGGCTATCTAACCCAGTATGCCTGGTCAAAGCCGTAATTGAGCCTTGTTATTGAACCAGTTCATATTCAGCTCAGGACATAAATGAAAATACTAATTTGGAAACTCATGTGTTGAAGCTGGAAATGCAATATTGTTTGAGGTTCACTCTGGAGGTCATACCAGTCAGGTTATTTATTTCAGCTTTACAAAACCATCGCTGCTATTTTTAACTTGCATACAGAGATTGTGGTGCATAATCAGACTTAGACAGTCTTGTAGTATCTTGCTGATAACCAAATCTTAACCAACAATCAGGAAGCAATCATTGCTGGGTCAGTGGTCTTACTTGAGGAAAGAACATTTTGCTTTTCCAGAACAGCTGCATTTATACTGAGAACAAATTACACAGTCTGATTATTAGGCATTAGCTTGAGGACCTCTGATGGAAAAGTACTCCACTGGAGTTTATTTAGACTTTTAAACTACTATTTACATTTCTGAGTAATGCACTACTTCGTGTTTGTGTGGAAACTAAAAGGTGATTAATCTTCTGATCAAACTTTTAGAAGGAATCGAAAGGTTTATCCTCTTGCGACCGAGCCCTCCAGCTATGCATTATGAATCCCGTCTCCGTTCAAGTAATTTGTTTAAAAACATAAAATTCAACCACTGCCACACTCCGAACCAGCAGGCCTGAACGGCAAGATGGCTTCCTCTCGATCTTGACATGCTTGCAGTGAGTTTATCTATCAATTCTTGTTTTAATTAAAATTAAGTTGCAATGAGCTCTGCTACAAACCGCAATCAGCCGTAATTAAGCCGATGATAAGAAGATCTGAAGACTCGTAGCATTGATTATGGGTGTTTTTAATTAGTGATTTAATGAAAGTTACAATGCAGATCTGCTCACTGAATAGTGGAAACAAAAGCTTGGAGTGTAAAGCATTACTCACTGATGGAGTGCAAGAAAAGAAAGTTAAATAACTCTGAACGGAACCTGATTAATTGCACACATGCATATATTTTTAGACTGTAATATTTGTCATGAGTATAAAACCTGGTTTAATTTCCTGTCAGCGGCATTGTGCAATTCATCCCTTCATATGAATTAGTTCTACATTCACTTTGCACCTGAGTCTCAACTCTTTCACCCAAAGTCCAAGTCAACTCAGAATATTCACAGGTTTTAGTAATAATAAGAATAATACATCAAATTTAGCTTTTTGGTTTTGAATTGAGGTCATTATCTTGAACCTAATTTATCACATGAACATTTAAAACTATCTTTTACAGAATATACAATGTATGTCTAAACTAATGTACATTTTAAGAAAATTCTAAATGTAAAATGTTTCAAGTTATAAATGTGTATTTTTAAAATGTGAGTTGGCCTTAAATACGTCGATCACAGTTCTTAAATTTTGTTGTCACATGATTGTTTAATCACAAATATTCTGTTGGGATTTTTTTCTCACCAAAATTTTCCGTCAGACGGAAGTTTGTCATGTGAAGACGTCTGTATTGCGTCCTGTTGAGGCTACCACTAGCTAGCTGCTAATATACCCTCGCTAGCTAGCTAACTCTTTGTGATTTGATTTTCAGAGGAAAGTAGCTCCTCTTAATGTTACATTTTAGAATTAATTAGACAGGAAGTGCTTTTATTTTGAAAAACGGAACGCTTCTTAGTACTGTTTGCCAGTTTTGTTTTTGAAATCAACCCAAAGTCACCGAGTACAGAGTTTCAGTTGTAGAAACATGGATGTGGTTGTTGTTCTGGTGGTAAAACATGGATTTGTTGTCATGAACCATTACAAGCCTGCAGTCTGTGAATGTCCTTGATGAATAAATGAAGCGCACCCTTTAACAGGGGAGTGTGAGCGTCTGCCAAGAGTCATTGTAAATGCTGCTTGATGACGCAAAGGTTGTTCGTGAGAGTCGAGTTTAATTCAGGTCCTCAGTTTAAGTTGAAAACCGTTTTTTGAGCAACTGGCCCAGGACTCAAGTCTGTCAATATTTCTGTCTGATTCGTTCAGATTAAAACTGATTGTTCATAGTCCATAGACAGCTTCCCAGCTCCCAGATCAACTTTTCTGAAGTCGTTTATTTCCATCTGTCAGTGAACTCATCTTCACTCCTCTGTTGCTTCCCTCCCAAATTAATCTTAATGTTTCTGTTCTTGCAGAAAAGCTCTTAAAGTAACATTTCTAGAGACAGTTTCAAAGCACTTTGAGCAACTTTTAGAAAATCTTGATGTCATTAAGGCTTAATGTCAGTAGGGAAAACACCCGTCTATTTAAGGGTATTTTCACTACTAATGTAGCTATATTAACATGTATGACTGTGTAAGAAAAGAAAGAAGAAGTTCAACTATCACCTAATGCTCCCTCTTTTCTCCACAGATGATCTTTCCTGCAAACTGGACTAAAATATCCTCAGATGTTTCACGCAGAAGCCGATACGGACGCTCAGCCTCACTTCTGCTCTCAGCTCTAATGGTGAATCATGGCTCTTTTCTTTCTCACAGATGCATTTAAGATGAGGGGGAAATGGAAAGTTTCTCCTAGAAATTTATCAATTTTGCTCCTAAACTTTGCTCTCTGAAGTGTTTAAAACAAATTGTTTGATTTAACTGTGTTTAGCGAAAGTTCCTCAAATAAAAGCGTAGCTATTAGCGACATTTATAAAGACATATTTGAAGATTTCTTCATGGATTTTACATATTTTAGGGCCAGAAAAATTGATTTTGTGGATTCTTTTTTTTTTTTTTTTTTTGGAAGGAAAGGAACAGGATGTTAAAATGTATTTCTGAAAATGATTGAGTTTACAGGGTGGTGAACATAAAGGTGGCTGGTTTATGCTGCACCGACTTATAAAACAGTTGTTTTTACTTCATGTCTTATATATTCTTGGAAGCATGCTAATATGCATTTCATAGAGTCAAGACACAACTTATTACAGCTTTATTAAGGCTCTTTTCTGCCTGATGACTGTATGTGTAGCCAATTTGTTGTCATGGTAACCACAGAGGTGGCTTTGTTTGGCACTCTTTGTGATTTAAAAAGATCATTTTAAAGTTGGAAGAAGAAGCTTCATTTGATTTTAATTTTGGAGCTGTGGTCATCAGAATTGAAAGAGACGTTTTTTTCTTCTTTGAATCTTTTTGACTGAGCCCAAATTGCATTAACCTGCAGCTGAATGTTCCTGCTTTCTTAGTTCTCTGCTATCAGTCAAGGACAGATTGGAAAATAGGAGCAAGGTGTTGAAGGAACAAAAGGACAAAATGAAACTGGTTAAAATTTACAACCCAAGTTTCTTCTTTACCAGTGTTTTTTTGTTTGTTTGTTTGTTTCCATCCAGTAAAAAGTAAAAATGTGGCACTGGATTTTTCGTTTCTGAATACACTTTTTGTAATAAACTACAAAAAAACACCCCCTCAACATGCTCCTGCTACTACCATGTTTCACTGTGGACATTGTGGGTTAACGACATTGTTTTTGATTTACATAATGTCATAAATTTGTCTTTGTGTTTATTTCCTAACGCTACTGACACAGAAGATGGTGTTGGCCGCACCAAATCGATCTGGCTGAGGCATTTACTGCAGCTAATCACTCAGATCCCCCGCAGCACAGCTGTCATAAATGATGAGATCAGTGCCGGATCACTTCCTGTCACCGATAACGTAGCGCAGCACATTTTTCTCATACATGCTGCATCATCCGCTGGGTGAACACCGCTATCTACTAAACGGATGACAGTTTCACCATCGCTCTACTAAATACGGCATAACTGAGTGATGCAGTTACGTTGTGGTGATAATGTCAGTGAATGTGTTTTTAATCAAATTCTGTGGTTGGATGCAAAGAAAGATTGAGTTGGCTTTATTAAAGTTGTGAGACATCAGGAAAAAGTTTATTACTTCCTGTATATGTTTTCATCTGGAAAAAAAAAAGATGAGTTGTCTGGCATGAAGTCACATCAATTTATTTTTTTGACTCCATGTTGGACACCTCTGTGCACCTGTCAGTCCTGACAGTCTACATCATGTTAGAACAGGCATTACATCTTAACATTTGCATTTGTTTCAAATAACTGATGGCCGCAGTGTGTGTGTTTGTTGGTGTCTTTGAGATTGAAGTTGCTTCATCAATATAGAGGTCCTTTATGGAACTATCTTAATTGCTTATAACATTTTAAAAGAGCATTTTACAATGTCTTGACTATCAAATTAAAGGTTATTCCACACTAGAGCTATTTGTTTTTGTTTTAAATAGACGCGTTTGTTCCTTCACACAGACAGCTTTGTTTGGACGGGTGTAAAAGCTCATCAAGGCCCTGATGGTCTGCCTGAAAACCTAGGTCCCAGAAATCCTATGAGAAATTTCTCAGCATTCGCTATCCAATCAAATAGAGATGACTCAACTATGTGGCATGACACATCATATAGCTCCTCTACTCCTCTACATACTCCACTATTGAAAGCCAAGACCATGGCTTTCAATATATATCCAATTATAGTTGTGAAGGATTGTTTATATTTAAATTGATTTTGGTGTTTTGATCGTTAGTAATTGTTGGATTTATGAAAGGTCTGTGAGAATACGATCGTCCTATAACCACGTGACCATACTTTCACCATTTGGCTTCAAATAAAGTATGCTAGAGGCTTTGGTCATAGAGATGGGGTCTGTCGATCAGACCCCATCTCTATTTCCTGAGTTAGTTCAGGAGTCAAATCAGGATGCCTTTCTTTAGATGTTTTCTGGACTTTCCCACAGGTGGGTTTGACATTGAACTTACTGAAAAGCATGTTTCCCTTCTTTTATAGAACCCTATTACTAGGTAGTAGTAGGTATGAGGAGCTGCAGAGTGTTGCTACATATGGGCATGTTTGAATTTCTTTTTTGAGCCTTTTACATCTGTGACTTTGCCTTATCTGACCTGATCTCAGAGTGTTTGACACACGTCTGAGCCTATTAAGTCAGTCCCAACTCAGCTGAAAATCAATGAAAGCTGCAAGACACCAAAGAACTTCAAGAAGCCTGGAGGCCTATCACTTTGACAGCTTTAAAAGAACCTCTTCTCCTTGGAAGAGAGATATAAAGAGATGAGGCAAGATGTAAAGCATATAAAAGTGTTTTAGTGAAGCAGATTTAAGTTAACTGGTGAAATTTTGAGTCCAATGCGTTCCCCCAGAAGGCGTCACAAATACAGTGTCTTTCTTTTTTATTCACCATTTGCAGATACCGTATCAAAGGATCCAGCTGGTTCTCTTTTCTCCTTTCTCTGCTGCTCTCTCACTGCATGCAGTAAAGAAGAGTTAAGCCTCGCAGATCTCTGGTCGATGGTCAGACCGTTGTGGGACAGTAAAGCCAGTCAGAGGTTCAGTCAGTAAGTCATCTGGGAAGCCCAGTGTTAAAGAGGAGCAGACTGCCTGTAAACCGATTTGATTCACCTTCCCACAGTTCATGTCTCCTTAATCCTAATTAGAGAAATACTTTAAAGGGGTGTTGAGTCACCTAATGGGTGTTTTTATTTACAAGGTCGAAAACTTGACGCCTCAGCACTTGGCAGAAAAATCAGTCACTTGTATTGATTAACGGCGATGCCATTATGCCACTGCAGATATATTATGGTCATTTGGGCCTTTGGACAGTAAAAATCACAGTCCAGGGGTTTAGAGCCACCTCATTACTCTGTCCCTTCAACCACTCCCCATTTTTTCATTGCGACATTTTTGATCCTCCCACTCTGTCGTTCTCTCTAGATTTCTTCTGCCCTTGCCTGCTCCCTTCACCTACCCCATTTCTTATTTGTAACAACAGGCTCTGTCAAAGTCTGGCCTGGAGGCTGGAATGTTTGAAAAGGTCTCATTAAAGAGCCAGTCAATGATCTACAGGCAGCTTGATGTACAATCATACGTTCGTGCATACACACCAGTTAACCTAACTCTAAATCCTCACAATGTTTTGCATCTTCAAGCACTTTTTGTTCTGATTATATTTACAGGATATAATCCATTTTATTAACAAGGTTAAATAATGTTTAATGCACCTTGTAAGGCAGACAAATGTATAAATGCACCCATTCTGATTGGACTTTGACAACCATCCCGTGCCAACATTTGACAGAGTTAATAACTGTAGACTTCCAAACTTTAAGTGACTTGGTTCAACTTGAGAACAGTCAAGGTTTTGGTTTTTATGTCCAACCATCTGCATTCAAGCCTTCCATCAACAGGAGTTGTATGTAGAAGGGTAAATTATGCCTGGACCCTAGTTTCTGAACTCCAGTGGACGAGGTTTGGTTTCCCAGTGGCTAAGAGAAGAATCATGACTGATTGTGTTGAGACAGGCGTTACGTTTGGTGGCATGTTTGGTGAGGTTTTTTGTTGGGCTTCGGCCATTTCTTCCAGTTAAAGGGTCCCTTAATTCTGCAACACATTTCAAGCTATTTTTTGTTTTTAAAGTTTTAGTTTGTGTATAGATGACACCTCTCAACATGACTGCACACAAAGCAATGGCTAAAAGAACCTGGGTGAGCAAGTTTTGTGTTGAAGAACCAGACCTCAACCTGACGGATCACTTGGTTTTAATTACAACAGACTCATCAACATCAATGTTTCACTTCACAAATACAAGAGGAATGCTCAAACATTATCTCAAAGACATTCCTGAACCTTGTTTGTTGCCCTCCTGGAAGATATGAAGTAGTTTTAACTGCAAAAGCTGGAGTGTCTGTATAATAAAACCCACATCACAATAAGATGTCAATTCATTTGGTATCTGTGTCAGTTTTGGAGTGAGTTTGTTTTTGGGCTCTATTTAATTTTCAGGGTTTGCTAGAGCAGTCCACTAGAGACAGTGAAATAAAACCTAAGACTTTTCATTATATTTAACACAGTGCAATAAAAAACATGCTTGTCGTCATCTACATAACAGTGGTGGTCACTGTACCAGATTGCAACATCTGCACTCTAATAGTGCAGTAAAATAAACCTACAGCTCTACTCTATACCCATAGATGCATCTAAAGCTACTAATGCTGATGAGTCCACTACAGAACAGATGGACAGACCTGATGTTTTTGGGTTCATGTTTTTGTTTTAAACTGAGATCAAAGATGAAGTGGCCACACTTTTCCCCAACCTCTGCTACTCATCATCCTCACTCATACGCCGACTCAAACTGTTTAGTGCAGCTGAAGCTGAGCAGCTCCGACGGGTGAAATCATTTATTTACCGGGGGCGCGCTGGGCGGCGTGGCCTCTGACCGGACCTCATGCTGCCTGGAGATAACGGCCTCATCAGAGAGCCGTAGGCAGCTGTGGTCAGCCGAACCGCAGGTTATCACGCCACTCGTTCAGTCCACCAGCTCAATTCTGTGCTGGATCCGTGCGATAATGAAGTGGGGTCGGTTTATTTTGACTTTGGGAATGTCTTTATAGGGCAATAGACACCACAAAGAATTTCATTTCAGTGTTGGATGCATTCACTAAGCTGCAACATTACGCTCTTATTCTGAAAGGATTTATATAGGGTTTATATTAAGAATGGATAGAAAATTTACAAATAAAGAGCAGTGATAATGTTAAATTTATACTCCTGAAAATGATGAACATACAATTAAACAATAACAGGCGGATAAAACAAGAAATGATTCCTAATAAAACAATAAGTACTTGGGTTATAAACAAGTACAAAATCTAATTGATTTTAGATTTTGATCAACTTTTATATAAACTATAAGAAATGCAGATTAAATGAGGAAACACTCATTTAATCTGCACTGAAACACTAGATATATTTATGATGTAAATTGTATATTAACACTAACAGTAAGACCTTATATAGTAAGACATTGATCAGTACCTGTCATGATCATTAACGTCTAACGGCAATAAAATATAAATATATGCTATATAAGAGACTCTAGATTCTAAATCTAAGTTTATACATAATGAAGGATTTATTGCCAGTGTTTACTTTAAACATACATTGTGTGTCACGTACCTGTTTAATTCAAATTCAGCTCATAGCTTCCGGGATTCAAACTCAGTGAGGCTCTCCATGAAAATGCAGCCTAAACAGGCGACATAAGCTGATTACAGATCTCAGTTTAATTGTTTTACTTGTTAATTATAAGTTGCATCAATGCCTGAAATACAAAACAGTATTTGATTCCACCTGGGATTTCAGTGGATTTAGGTTTGTATACAAACATGGAGCACTTTTGTCAGGATTAATTTCTCATTATTGGCTTGGGAAAATCACCAGCCAGTTTTCATTTCTTAATCAAACAAAGAGCCCAAACAATCCAGATATTTATTTTAGGTGCTTTATGCTAGCATAGATACCTCTAAAACATTTTACCGTATTTTCCGCACTATAAGGTGCACCTAAAAACATTCAATTTCCTCAAAAGCCGACAGTGCGCTTTATATATGGTCCAATATTGAGCCACAACAGGTCTAGCAACTACGGTAAACAGCCGCCGACTTCATTTTCGCCCATAGAAGAAGAAGCGCGCGTTGCATGCTGGGATAGTTGTCAGAACGCTGGTTTGTTAATAAAGTTTGGCTGACCTATCTACCCACCAACCGTCTAGAATCAGGTCGTCTGCAGGTCATTTAGCACCACGATCTCCACCAACATGCTGTGCGTGAACGGAGAAGGGTGACCATCGTCCGGCCATTTCTAAAGAAAAGAAGCTGCCTAATATTTATGGACATGTTGATGTAGGGTTTTGACCTCCTCCCTCATTACATAGATACATGTCACATGCCAGGTTTACATCCATTAAGCATTCACTTTTATCCAGCTTGGAAGTAGAAAATATACCTAGAAATTATGATAAAGTCAAAATACTCACTCAAATGTAGACCAAAATGAAATCTAAATATAAACCGATGATATGAATAGTTTCCTGAATCCTGCATACTGTACCAGACCCTGCCAGACCTCAGCTCTGGAGACTCTGCAGGATGAGTGCTGCTCCCTCTGCCCCCTCAGTAGGGGACTGTTATTTACAGTGAGGAGTGCTGAAGCTGCATGTCCTCATCCTATGTGCCATCAGCAGTGTGTGCGTGCGTGTCTGTGTGTGTGTGTGTGGTGAACGAGATAGTAGACAGGGTAATTACCTCTGGACCCTTCATCCAGCATCCGCTCACCTCTTCAGTCTCAACAGAGCCACTAAGAGGAGCGCCGTCAGCTCCAAATCACGGCACCAGGCAGGTGTGAGCACAGCTACCTGTGTGCACACAATACCACAAAAAATAAAAATAAAAACACTTTATTCCTTTTTTTTAAATACAAAGGGACATCTGGAAGTGAGGACAAGTTGGATAAAATTCAGTGAATGTTCTGCCTGCGCTGCATGGTGTGTGTCCTCCTCCGTTATAGCCCAGAGTGCAGCGTGTTATCTCGACAGGTGCAGTTGTCTGCACCCTGCTGTATAATGGGGATGTGTTCAGCCTGTTCCATGCTGTATCTGTCTGGCAGCACTGAGATGGTGTTCACTGATAACTCCTAGTCCCCTCAAACCCCCCTTTAAGAGGCAGGGTGAAGCACAGCGGTGGCATTCAGTGAGCAGATTGCGGCACTGTACATGCTTTGCTTGAATGTTTGCAGTGGAGCTAATCTTCCGCCCCCAACAGCCTCCTTCCAGATGTTTACCGGGTTAAATGAATAAGTGTGAATATTAGGTATGAAAAGAGGTCCAGAAATGACAGCGTCCTTCACACTTCCTGGCTCCCCTGATGTTAACATGACTGCCTTTTGCCAACAGGAGAGACGTTTAGAGCTGATGATTCTGATGCCTTATAAACTACTGCAGTCGGTACAAAATTGATGAAAATCCAGGAGACGTGAGGAGAGAACCTGAGTGAACTTATTAATTTGTTCGGCAAAAATTTTTGTTTGGTCTGCAAAAATTTCCAGCTCAAATTGTACTGCCATCGTTTTTAAGATATTAATAAAAGTTTCCAGAAGTCATAGGTCAACCATGCTCTCCCATAATTAAGAAATCAAACACATTAGGTGACAATCAACTGCGCTACACTTTCATTGGTGCTGCTTTTGTTAGAAGATGTTAATGAGAGTTTATAACCTCCAAAAACTTATACCAATATTTCAAAATAATTAAAAATGTTTTAAATTTGATCGCCCACCTGTACACGTGTCCTTCCACTTTACATTTCTGTTCTATTTCATGTTGACCTGTCCGTTAAACCCCAGTTACTAAGAGTAAGATGAGACATGAGAAAAAGCTTAAGGTTGTAAATATTTAAAAGCACATTAAACACTCTGGGTTTGTCTGTTTTCTCAGTTCAGCCTTAAAGATGGCTGCTAAATCGAACATTTGGTAAAATGCTAATATGCTAATCATTAAGTCTGATGAAATGCAGCAATTTTTCTGTGACGGATTCAACCTTCCTGTTTTCTACTGCAACATTCATATTTAAATGCTTATCATCCACTCTAGAGGAAACTTTAATGCATACGCTGCAGTAGAAAACAGGAAGGTTGAATCCGTCACAGAAAAATTGCTGCATTTCATCAGACTTAATCATTAGCATATTAGCATTTTAAGTAAAGTTTCCTCTAGAGTGGATAAGCATTTAAATATGAACCTTGGAAAGAGTGATATTATTATTCCAAAGTTAAGAGTGTATTCTAGATGATTTACTGTGTGATTTCCTCTGGCATCTTGTTAAAAGGACTTTAAACCAGTGAAAGAAAGACTAACCCCATGTCTGATTATAAATAGGGAACAGAAAGTCTGGAATTTTGACCTAAAAAAACCTTGTAGGAAACCAGATTAAAACCACTGTAGGCTGACGATTGCACCGCATCCGTTGTTCTTTTTCGGGAAATAATCCCCAGCTCAAATCGCCATTCATTATTCTTTCAGTGGAGAGCAGGGTGTATTTAGGAGGGATCTAATTTTATCAACCAAGTGTCTAAATTGCCAATTTGTGCCCAGAATGGAAGATCACTTATCCAAATTTTTCCTCCGTTCCATAATCAGGTGAAGTGGCACTTTTTTTTTCTTTTTTTTTCCTTTTTCCTCCATTCGATGGTTGCCTCATTTTTCAGAGCGAATCATTGGCATGCCATTCACCTCGCTCAGGTTCACGTTTTGTCCTCAGAAACCAATGTGAATATTTCTGCCTTTCCTTTCGGATCACTTAGAGCCGCCTGTCACTCTACTATTATTACTTTGTGGATGTTTTAATAAAAGGTTTCCTCCAGGATATGATACTCCCCCAATAGTATCTAACCCCAATTTATTGCTTTACTGACAGAAGCAGAGAAAAACCCAGTGAGATTATCCAGGTAGGAGGTTCAGATATCATCATAAGAGATGGAGAATGTCTGTTTAAAAGGTAAAAGTTGACCATAGAGGTTGGTGTGTGCGTTCCACTGCAGGCTGATGTATCGATTGCCTTCTTGGATTTGTTTTTGAGTCTGAAAACAAAACGCGTGTCAAGCTGTGTGATCCGCAGATTACCTGATATGACTGAAAATGAACTCTTTCTGAGGCGAGATTAGCTCTGAACTTTGAACCCTGAATCAATAAGTTCAGGATGAACGAATCTTTAGGCAGGGATAGAAAACAGGATTTCAGCTTACATCATAGCAAGTAAACAGAATGCTCATCCTGACTAATATTAATGAAATGCTGCAAAAACATAATTTAGACTTTTGTTCACACTTCTTAGGATGCTAAATTCAAAATGTGTTTTCTTTGAAACCACCTTTCACTCTATTGATGATACAAGCATGAACCTCCTCACATATTTTCACTATCAGATGCCTGTCCATACTTAGTTCCCACAAGTCTGAACCAGAAGTGATCCGTCTACTGAACCGCCATCTTGGTAGGCAAAGCACAGAAGAACCACAAAGATAGTAGAGTACTCAAAAACTAAGAGTAATAGTTGTAATGCACTTATATTGTTTATAAATTAGCTATATAGCTGTGAACGAAGCGAGCGCAACTCTCTTCGTTCACAGTTAGCGGCTTGCACATGCTAACTGTGCAAGCCGTTGAGGTTTGTTGATTGCTGTCATAGCAACTCCAAAGCAACTGTCATGACAGTTAGATACAGATACCTGCCAAGATGGCCGCCAGCTACAAAGTTCTCAAAGTGTAACGTCGCATTTCCATTTGAAAATGGAAATGTCTTAGCAATAGTTGCTAGGTTACTAGTTTTACATAGTAACCAACCGCTAAAAATACCTTTCGTAGCATTATGTTTAGAAAAATGAAATTTGAAATGAAATTTGTTACAAGAAATATAAAGCCTCTCATTGAGAAAGTCGTTGAAGTTTAATAGATAGCTCTTAAATTCATAGATAGCTAATGCATTTTGCAAAGTAACCTCCAAGTGATGTTGGCTTAGAATGGGGCTCAAAATGTGTTCTTGGAGCATTGTGTGGCGTCGTTCCACTGCAGATCCCTGACGCTGCAGAAACAAAGCTGGCAGTGGCCGGCTAAGCAGCTTTTAAAGTTCGAGCCCCTGAACGCGTTGAAGGCCGCTGCAGAACACGAGCGCTCATCAGAAGTCGGCCCTGGATAATGCAGAAGTTTTAAAAGGCGAGCAGCGTCTCGCCCCGGGCTGCTCCGGCTCTCCGGTGACGCCTGCTGTTACGTTTCATCACCGCCATTAATCCTGACTGCTGCCGCCAGATCTTTGAGCTTTATTCCCACCTCGCTGATTCATATCAGTCCTTAAATGCTTTTACTTTAACTGAGCCGTCTGGGTTTGCCTCGGCGTCGTGCCCAGCTGGCGTCGCACGCCGTACGCCTCAGTGTGATTAACATAATTCATGTGTCATGTCGGGGCGTTGCCCCCACTCTGCCTGATGCAACATTGAGTTCACCTGTTGCAGAACTGCAGTGTCACCCGGGCGGACAGTGGAATGCATCACCTCCATGAATCAAGCTGAGATGTCCAATTTATAACGAGGGATCAGCATTCAGAGCAGAGGTCCTCACTTCTGATCCTCAGCTTACCTCCTGGTTAAATATGTAGCATTTTGTCTTGTCAAAGTCAAACATTTCGATGTTCTTATTGGGGTTTTATGGGACAGACCAAAACAACTAATACATACTCCAATAAATTGTCCCTGAAATGATTGTGATAAGCGATAATGTTGTTTTGAATCTATTTTCAAGTAATATTTTAATCAAAATGCAAGTTCACTCTCTCAAAGACCAGTAAGCTTTATTTTTGACCCTGGAACTGGAAAATGTTTTAAGGTATATAGGAGATACAGGAGAAAAGTCTGGTTTTTAAGAAAATGGCCACTTATCAATTAATCGTTAGCCGATCAATGAACTCATTAATCAATGCATCCCTTATGCGATTAACTGCTGATTGAGACAGGTTTAGTAACTGGCCAATAAAACGTGACTGATTTTTTTGTCTCCACATAGGTTGCCGTTAACAGTCATCCCATTATTAGCAACTTGGCAACTTTTCAGACTAAAAAATCGGTATTGGTTAAAATCGGCAAGTCAGGCTTTTTAAAGATCAATAATCGGACCTAAGACTGCAATCGGTGCACCTGCAGTTTTCAGTGGTATCCAATTTTAGATTGTCTAAGGTAATTCTTCTTTAAACCTCTGTGTACCTTCATCCCTGACCCGTCTGCTGCGTTCCTTGGTCTCCACGATGCTGTTTGTTTACTAAAGTTATTTAACTGACCCCCGAGGCCTCCACATCACCAAACAGCTGGATTTATCCTGAGATCGCATCACTAATGAGTTTGCTCAGGAAGGTACCGCCAACGCTGCATTTAGGGGGTGAATGTAAATGTCAGCTGCATCTTTTGGAATCTGATTTGTAAAAGAAATTAGAGCATTTGTCATTTTCTTTGGGCTTCATAATGATTTGGAGGCAACCAAACCGCCTTAGCAGAAGTTTGAGTAATCATGATGTCCTTTTTAGAATCGTCAGTCTTGTGAGAACTTTGTTTGGCCGCGGCGCTCCGCCCCGGCACAGTTTGGGCTCAAGTCGGTACTGGAGTGGGGATAGAGCGCAGCCAAATCTGTTGGCTGCTATTGATATCCCATTTCCTCTGTCACTCCAAAGCTGCTTTGCATTCAGAGGCTCCGCAGCAGCAGGCCCAGAGTGTCCAGCCTGTGGCCGCTAATACTGATTATCCAGCTGCTAGTGCTGCTCTTCAGCGATCATCCAGCCTTTCATTATGCGAGCAGCCGCAGCAGAGTTGCAGGCGTGC